CTGCCACAGCTTGGGGAACTCCTGCTCATCCTTCAAAGCCCAGCTCAAATATTACCTTCTCTGTGAAGTCCCACCTCTACTCCCCGCAACAAGGTCATTCATTCAGAAAACAGTTCTTGAGGCTCTCCTCTGTGCTAGGCACTGAGACTAGTGAAAAAAACTCTATTCCTGCCCTCAGGGAGCCCATTGTTTCCTGGTGGAGACAGATATTCATAAGTAATCTCACAGATCTAAGCATCAGTGACAACAACAAAGCAAGGTAAGTGAAGTGACTGTCCAGCTCCAAGAGTTAGAGCAGGGGGTTTGCACCAACCTGGCCTGGCTGAGGTGCTTTGGGAAGGTTTCACTGCAGAAATGCCAGCTGGCCTGAGAGCTGAGGAAAGAATAGATGCATTGGTGGGGCAGCCATGGCTCCCTGTGCAAGGCCTGAGGTGAGGCTGGAAGGCAGAGAGCAGGGGATGGGCTCCCATGGGAGATGTACCTAGAAAGGTGGGCATAGTCCTCCAAGGCCAAGGTGAGGAGGCTGGATTTTCTCTTGCTGGTACTGGGAAGGCTTCAGAGGGTCCTGAGCAGAGGGGGATTTTCAAGGAGTCCCTCTGGCTGCCATAAGGAAGAGGCAGTGGGGATCACATTGATTTTTCAGATCAGCCAGATTCATATCCGTAGGAGATACAACTTGATTTTTTTGTTTAGATTTTTATTTATTTATTTATTTATTTATTTATTTATTTATTTATTTATTAGTGCCAGGTCTTAGATGCAGCATGGCATCTCTCAGTTGCAGCATGCAGACTTCTTAGTTGCGACGTGTGGACTCTTAGTTGCGGCACGTGTGCGGCACCTAGTTCCCCAACTAGGGATCGAACCTGGGTCCCCTGCATTGGGAGCGCAGAGTCTTACCCACTGGACCACCAGAGAAGTCCTGATACAACTTCATTTTAAGTTTCTTTTATAAACCCCATTCCAGTGCTGGTGGTAGGAACTTCATCTCGGTCTGGGGGTCCTCATGGTCTCTGGATCTCAGGCTACTGGTGACAATGGCTTTGTCCTGCTGGCCTGGCCACAAGGCCCCTGAGCCCTGTGATGCTCCTGGCTATGGCTAAGCCTTTCTCTGCTCTCAGGCTATGGGGTGGGGACTCCGAAAGGCTTGGGGACCCACAAACTTTTGGGGAGCAGGAGGTTTACAGGGGAACCTGGGCCTCCCTGCTCTCTGACCTGCAGCCTCTGGGTGGTTCTCAGGGCCCCAGGGACGGTGAACAGTCTCCTTCTCTGCTCCCTTTCCTCTTCCCCAGCACCCTGCAGGCTTCAGGAGGGTGCTTTCTGTCTCTGTTTGGCCCTGTTCCCTCAAGGATTGTGCTTTGGAAATGCAGAAACCGAGGACTCACTCCCAGCTTCTCTAGGAAGCTGCTGTCGGCCTTTCCCTGAAATGACAAATGCCTCCCTGATAGAACAGAGTACAGGAGATGGGACATCATCTAAGCCATCTTCTTGTTCAGACTGTTTAATCTGAGTCATGAGAAAACAGAAATCCAAAATTATGTAACATTCTCTAAGATGCTTGGATACTTAAAAAATGTCAGTGTCATGAAAAAAAAAAAAAGTGGGGAAACTTTCTGATTCAACGAGCCTAAAGAGACATGATAACTGAAAGCAGCAAATGATCCTTCACTGGATCCTGGATGGATACAAAGTAAAAGCCATGGAGGACATTGCTCGGGCACCTGGAGTATGGCCCTGCTTTAGCTGGTATTAATGTCTGGGCGCTGAGTGCCCTCCTGGGTAAGGGAGGTGCTCGAGGGTCACTCGTGTGTTAGAGTAATAGTGATATGTGCTCATGTGCTCATGTAGGAATGTCCTTATTCTTAGGTGTTGCCTGGTGTATTTGGGGGTGAATCAGCGTGGTATGTGCAGCTTATTTTTAAATGGCTCAAGGTGAGGGGGATGTTTGTGTATGTCCCTGAGAGGAACAATGCAAATATGGCAAAATCTTGACAGTTGGTGATTCTGGGTAAAGGACATTAAACTATTCTTTCAACTTGGGGAGGATGGGCCTCTCCACTGCTGCACCAGCAGGGCTGGGAGAGGGGGCCCAGGTACTATGATACAGGGAGTGCAGGACCCTCCCTGAGACCCTGATCTAACCCTCAAGGCCCCTCCCCTGCTGCTGCAGAAACACTCAGGCTCTGAAGGGGTAGAAGGGTCCACCCAGTTCCCCGAGGCCCTTCAGGAGTAGAGCTGGGCTGCTCGCTGGTCAAGTCCAGCGTGACTGCCTCCTGCATTTACTCACACCTCTGAGTATCTGGCTCAGTGCCCAGGCAACCTGAAACCCATCCACTTACCTTCGGGTCACCCTCAGTCGTGTCTCAGGGCAGGGGTAGGTCCAGGAAGGTGCCAGCCCCAGGAGTTAATCTGAGCCATCCATGGTCACTGGACGCTTAGCCACCACTACCAAGGATCTAGACGTGAGGGCAAAGCACTCCTAGCGCAGGGGGTCTGGCCCACAGGCTTCAGATGAGCTCACGAGCGGCCCCTCTGGGGAAGGCAGGGCAGCCTGAACACAGCTCCTGGGAAGGTAGTTCCCCTGGGCTTGAGGTCACCAGCACCTCCGCTGCATTGTGCCAAGGGAGGAGGCCGGGTGCCTGCAGCTCGGCTGGGCCCAAGAACTTTCTGAAACACATGTTCTTACCACCAGACATGGGCACCTACTGTTCCGCCTGCTCTCCCCTGCACCCCCATCCCCATCTCCCGAAGCCGGTTAATACCCACTGTCCTTCAGCCTTGACCTGGGTTTGGCGGAGCTGTCATGGGTTCCCACGGCCTCACTGTGCTGCATCTCCTTTTCTACCATCTGCTGTAGACTGGAACTCACCTATGGCATGTTCCGTGTCTCCCCCACCGGGGCGTGAGCTCTATGAGCAGGGTAGGTGCTCAGGAAGTGCATCCAGTGCACATTAACTGTCGGGGTGCAGGCAGCTGCTGGGGTACCGAGTGCCCCGTCCTGGGTGAAGTGCACGCAGAGTCGGGGTCTGCGGAGGGGGCGTGAGTCGTCAGCGTGGGCAGCCCATCTCAGCTCCTATATAGCAACGATGAAGCATTTATTTCTCTGGAGGAAGCTGGTCAGGCAGATGTTACGCACTCATCTTTCGGGAAGGGAACCGAGAGCTTAGTTTTCTTGCCGGGGGTCACAGAGCTGGTGCATGAGAGCGCTGGTGTTACAGTTTGCCCTCGTCGGCCTGTCTCCAAGGAGCTGCCACTTGGAAGGGGTCTGGCTGTCTCCTGGGGCGTCTACTCCACCCGCCTCATCCCAGCCTGGCCTGTCCCGCTGCAATAACACCATGAGCCCGTGGTGCACGTTACCTCATTTATTCTCACAACATGCCTGTGAGGTAGGGAGGGGTGGGGACTGTCCCCATTTTACAGAGGAGGAAGTTGAGGCACACAGAGGTCAAGTGACTTGCCCAAGGTCACAGACGGCGGCCAAGCTGGAATGGGCCCTAGAGCAGGCCCGCAGTTCACCCGGGGCCCCTGTGGCAGGTGCTGGACACGAGGACGTCTCCAGTGCCGCAGCCGTGGCCACAGGAGAGCAGCCGTCGTGCACGGAGCTTGCTGCGGGCCTGGCCTCGCCCTCTCCCTCCCTGCCCCCCACCTCACCCTGCAGGCCTGGGCCATTGCAGCTCAGGGCTCATGACACCCTGGGAGTGGGGCTGGGGGGCAGGGGAGAGAGAAGGATGACCGGGGTAAAAAAATAGAAAACTTAGAGGCCAGGCAGATGGGCCCATGGCCGGGGAGCGGGGGGCAGGTGAGAGACAAAAAAAGGGGGGGGCTGCTTACACACAAGGTATATATTTTTACACACACTTGTACACACACCTAGATATAGTACATGTAAAAATATATGCTATTCACACACCCGCCTCCTGCCAGGTGCCCCCGAGAGCCAGCGGTGGCGCTGGTGGGCATGGGTGAGCAGAGGGGCGTTTGTTAAATATACACTCTAAGGTCTATGTGCATATGTACACATACGTACAGACACAGCCGCCTGCCCCTCGGGTACTGTACACAGGCTCGGCCAGGGACACATGACCCCTGGAAAATGGGGTCCCTCTCTTGAGTGGCCCCTGCAAGTCACTCTAGGTCATACATTTTGCTGAAGGAAAGAAGGGGCTGGAGAGAAGAAAAAGGCGGGAGTCTGGAGTGTGTCAGCTGTGATTTTTATCTCATTCCCACCCCCACCCCCCAAAGACTTCAGCCCTCCTCATGGTCTCAGAGGCGAGTCACCCACCTGACGCTGCCTAGGGCTGGCAGATCACAGTGGGAGGGCTGCTTCTGCTGAGAGGAACCTATATCTGCGTGTGTGTGTGTGTGTGTGTGTGTGTGCGCGCACGCGCACGCGTGTGCATGTGTGAGCACTCGGTGGGGGAGGGGACGCGTGTCCATCTCTCTGTCCTCTGGGCTCACCCACAAAAAGGGCTGAGAACCAGAAAGCCGATAGTCAGGATGATGACCCCTGTGTGAGCTCTTAAGGGAAAAGAGAAAAACATAAGAATGGAAACTCCAAGGTCAGAGCTGGGGTAGCCAGGAAAAGGAGGAAGGACATGGCAGGTGCCCAAGGCTGCCCTTGGGCTGTCGTCATCTTGTAAACAAGCTAGTTTAAGTTCTCATTAGATACAGCAAGTAAAAAGACCGTAGTCTGGAGGCTGGGCCGGGGCGTTGCCGAAGTCCATCTATCTAGTCCACCACGGCCAGCAAGAGGAAAAAAAAAAGTTTTATAGTTTTGTGTTTCTGTTGATTTTTTTGTGTGAAGTCTTCATAACCTAAAGCTGGGAGGGACCCAAGAAAGCCAAATTGTGAGCCCTTGTATGCGTCAATTTGAAAGTTGGCTCAGGGTCTCTAGACAGAATAACCACACTAAAGGTTGAGAAAATTTTGTTCCTTTCGCATTTAGTTTGTAGGTTTCTTTTTTTAATGACTTAAAATTGTTTGCTTCCTGCTTCCTGGTCTCAGAGCCGGGTCTGGGCCTCAGGGACATAAATCTCGATGCTGTCTGCGCTCTCCGTGGCTGAGTTCTGCCGCACGGAAGCTGCCCGCTTGGCCGCCAGGAGCCTCTTGCGGGCCTCCTGACGCTGCTTGTCCCCAGCGTCAGAGGCCTTGTCGCGGCTCACTGCCGGCTTGGATTTGGCTGGCTTCTTTGGGACCGGAGGGGGTAGTTTCTTCTCTTCCTTTAGTGAGACAGTGAGGAGAGAAGAAAAATAAAATAAAGGTGCCACCTTTTGTGTGGCGCTACCACCCACCGTATGCTGGCAGCTGGAGCCTCCACCCCAGCCTTCCCGCATCGGGCACAAGCAACACACATTTGGAATCAGGAAGCCACAAGAAGCGATGATGGTGGGAATAGCACAAGGCATAGGAGCAAAAAGCAAGCTTACAATCCTAGAATGTTCTAGTAGGAAGGGACAGACAGACAGATCACCTCTTCCCACCCCTGCTCTGAACCACTGAGAGCCTGAAATTCACACAGGAATCATATAGCCAGAGATGGGATTGAAATTCAGGGCCTCCGACTCCCAGGTCACATTTCACATGCTATTTTAGGGGATCAGAACTCACAAGGGCCACAGTCCAGTAACCAATAACCAAAGGGGTCACTGGGTGCCACTGTTTTACAGATGGAAGCCTGAGCCTCAGGGAAGAGGCTGGCCCAGGAAGCAGGATCGGGTCCAAACCCCTGTACTCCTGGCAGCGTGGTCCTAGGAGGAGGACCATTGTTTCTACCTCCAGGGTTCCAACGGCTGTGTCTACGCTAGTGCTCTGGGTTGTGGGCATGTGTGTCCCACTTTCTGAACATGCAGGGCAGGAAGGCATGCTTCGGGGGGGGGGGCAGCCTCAACTACACAGAGCGAGTAGCATGCTGGACGAGCGCCGAGCATGGACCCCGCACACTGATGGACGTGAGCCCCCAGCTCAAAGACGACACACAGAGAAGGGAGCCAAGCAGCACTGACCGATGTGGCCAGCGTTATTGCCGACCAGGAATTTGTCCCTGGACTTCCCCTCCGCACTGCTCCATGCTCACCTTCCTCTTCTCGGGGGTCTCCACCAGCTGCCAGCTGTTGGCCTTGAGGTGGTAGAGTTCATCAAACTTCATGCTGATGTCCTCGATGGACAGCTGCAGCAGGTCCCAGAACCCTGCCAGGTCCTGAGCTGTTGGACGTGGGTTGGCATCAGGGTTCTGTGGGACAGATGGGGATCAGTGGGGCAAGCAGGGCAGAGGCTTGTCCTGCACCCCATCCCAAGTACTGTCTCCTAGCTCTGCCAGCCCTGGTTGGGTTCTCTTGAGGCCTGGTCTTACTCTCCTGTTCCCAGGGTCGGGTCAGTATCTGTATGAGCGAATGAACCCAGTTCCCGATTACTGCTGGCCCTGATGGTGGAGAGCTTTGGGAGAGAGAGACAGTCCTATCATGAGAGTGGGTCCTGCACACACATGGGGACTGAGGCCTTTGCCATCACTGTAGGGCTACAGTGAGCAAGGCCTTCATGGCCTCAGCGTATGCCAGGCAGGCAACTCGTCTCATTTTACAGGGAGGAGGCAGGATCACTCCCAGGTGGGTGTGATTACAGAATCCGTGTGGTTTCTAGCCCATCATTCTGTTCTCTGACAGCACATTCCTCGTCAGGACTTCCCCAGTGAACGCCCAAACCCCTACCGGTCCTAGAGACAGACAAACACTCGCCACTGTCCTCCACCCCTGGGGGTACACCACCCCTGCCGATGGAAAGAGGCCTCCACAGGAAAAGCTGCTGCCTAGCGGCGAGGGTTGAAGGAGAGGGAAACCCACCAAGCCTCATGGTGGTTATTTCTTTAGTTCTTACCTTGACTGTCTTCTTAGATATAGAGTATGTTGTATATAAATAAATCAGTGCTAAATGATTTTTAACTTTCATGTGGCTGTTTTTTACATAGAGTTCACTTTTCTATTTCAGAAGGTAGTAGAGATCTGAAAGGACCACTCCTGGCCCTTTTCCTGTGCTAGCCACTGACACGCACCACTGTCATCTTTCCAGTGCCATGAGGAAGCAGCGCCTTCTCCATGTTAGAGAGGAGGTCACAGGGGCTTAGAAGCTAATCCAGCTGGGGGATCTGGCTAGAAGACCTACTGTGGAGGGAGAAGAATCACACTCACCAAGTTTTGCTCACAGAGGCCCCGGAACTGCTGGAATTTCTGTGACATCAGTAGCTGGGCACTTCCCACAGCACTGAGGACTTTCCCTAAGACTGAGAAAGAGAAGGTGGAAAAAGACTGAGCAGAGCACAGGGTCTGCTGGGGTGGAACACAGGATCAGGGTCATGGCTTTCACCTCCCCTCCCCGCCTTACGATACCAATCATTTGGTGATGGCAGTCAGTCTTCATTTTATTTACACATTAACCCACTCTCACTGTGAAAAGTGCAAACCAGACACATAAAGTGAGCCCCATCCCCTAGTTGCTAAGGACGTTTTATGGCAATAAATTATAAAAACTAAGTTTAAATGAAAAAAATTTTCAGGAAAACATAAATTACTATCATAGACTCAAGAAGAAATAGAAAATCTAATTAGGCCAATAACTGTTTTAAAAAACTGAAGCAGGAGTTAAAAATCTTCCCCAGAAAAAGGAACCAGACCTATGTAGTTTTACAGGTGCGGTTTTACAAAACCTTCCAGGAATAGATAATCCCTGTTTTATACATTCAAATTCTTCCTGAGAGTAAATAAACAGAAAATGACAGCAAATTTCAGGAGCCCTGAGAGAACATAGGACATGCCAAGAATAGGGCACTTTCATTATGAACATAAAAGTCTTAAAGCAAAGAGAATCCAACAGAAGAGTTCACCATGAAGTGTTTAGCCCAGGAGAACAAGGTTGAAATCTTTTAGTGTGATTTCCAGTTTTAAAGTGGTGGCAGGAAGACAGTACTACCTCCTAACCCCCTTAGAAATCACTGAAAAGCAAAACAGAGTATAAACAAGAAATCAAAATGCAAACTGTCTCCTGACAGAACTCTCGAACGTAGTATATGAGGAAGGCTGCCACATGCAGTGATAGCCACACAAGGAGGATTCTTGGGACTGAAAGGCTCAGATAAAGGTGGCAGTTCTGAGTTCTCAAACGTAGCATAACTTGAGAGGAGAAGCCAATAATCTCTTATTTGAAATAAAAAGGGGGTGTGGACTGCAGCAGGAGCATTCCTGGACCTGGTTCAGCACCAAAGGTGGGGGGGGCAGGGGGACGAGGACGACACTGCATGGTAACCACCCTCTAGTTGCCTGGGGAGAAGACCAGGCTGAAGAACGCACCCTGCACCCATCACCATGCCTGAGGAATTCCTGCCAGCCGGGGACACAGCCCTGGCTCCTCTCCCACAGTGGTCTACTTACAGCAGCTCATGAAGGAGGAATTCCACCTCATTCAGAAATTAGTTATTAAAAAGGAACCAACACAGGAGCTAAACATGTTATAGGAGCAGTAAATGGCAGATGCACATTCACCAGAAAGTTGTTGCCAGAGAACAGATGAAAAGTGTGACATTTAGCCACAAATATTTAAACAGTAGTTCAAAGCAGAGATAAGGTGCTCTGAAAAGAGATGCAAGACAATGGAAGGGGATAAAACATGAGCTCTGGAACTAGCTCTGGAAGAGAAAAATCAGGCATCACAGAAACAAGGGCCATGATGGACACAGCACAAAGAATAAACCCTGATGAAAACCAATAAGGACAAGGAGGACAGGAGTGAAAAAGCTCCTGGCACAAAACACTTACACTGCTAGAGTAACAAGACAAGACGTCTTAAATGAATAGCTAAGCTGCTGGGGATAAAATGACCCCCCACCCACAGAAGGTAGTGGGTATATGTGCCTGGCTTGGTCTAAAGTAGGATGGGAGGGCTTCCCTGGTGGCACAGTGGTTAAGAATCCACCTGCCAATGCAGGGGATATGGGTTTGAGCTCTGGTCTGGGAGGACCCCACATGCAGCGGAGCAACTAGGCCCGTACACCACAACTACTGAGCCTGTGCTGTAGAGCCCGTGAGCCACAACTACTGAAGCCCGTGTGCCACAACTACTGGAACCTGCGCACCTAGAGGCTGTGCTCTGCAACAAGAGAAGCCACAGCAATGAGAAGCCTGCACACGGCAACGAAGACTAGCTTCTGCTCGCTGCAATTAGAGAAAAGCCCACGCACAGCAACAAAGACCCAATGCAGCCAAACAAAAAAAAAGGATGGGAATAAAAGGAAAAGTCTCTCTTGAGAATTCCTAACCATAAGACTGCACTTAGGTACCTTATTTTTTAAGAAATAAAAGAAGCAACTAGATGTATTAAAAAGATGAGACTATTTTTAAAAAAGTGACTGAGAGACACGGAGGAGAGAGGGAGACTTAAAATATATCAGAGTTCTAAAAGGACAGAGAGAATGGAAGAAAAGAAATTTATTCAGAGAGATGATTCAGAATATGAATAAAGGAACCATCCCAAACTCATTTTATGAAGCTAGATAACCTTGATACTAAAACAGGACAAGGATGAGAAAGGAAAATTACCAGCCAAGTAATTCTGCCTTTGAAGAAAGGCAAAATTATTAAATCAGGTATTAACAAAAGTACAACAATGTACTAAAATGATATAACTCAGCTGGGTTTATTCTGGTAATACAAGACTGATTGAACATTAGAAAATTCTAATGACTTCTGATTCTGACTATAAAAAACCAGTTACTATCAGACAAACTGAACCCTCCCACCAAGAAAAATTAAAAAAACAAAAAACCTAAATAAAATACCAAAAACAACAAAAGAATCTCTTTCAAGGTATTAAAAAATTACCAAAGCAACCAGAATTTGAGAGGCTAAGATGTCAGTGAGAACGGAAACTATATTCGGCCAAGTCTGTCTGATATTCTGTACTGCCTTCTACCCCAAGGCATCTCCCAGTTTATGAGCAGCACAAGGCTGAGGGGCTAAGAAGCCAAGCAGAAAGTGGTGGTTCAGAGTCTGAGAAGCTAAGGAGAACTTGTGGCAGTTCCATGGGGACAGGGAGACCCAAACTGGAATTCGGGGCTACCAGAGCAGACAGGACTTGGGGGAAGCGCATCAAGCTGAGCAAAGCTTCCAGCAGTCTTAAGATGGGGAAGAAACAAAAATTGGAGCTCAGTGTCTGCCAAGCAGGAAGGGCTTGGAAATACCCCAGGCTGTCATAAAACCCAGCTCTGAACCAGCTCAATCCCGTATTAGATTAAGTTGGTCTGGCCCTACTCTAATTGTCTGCAAGAAGCAAAAGTATTCGCTTTTTCTATTCGCTCTCAAAGAATAGAAAATCGTCTTCAAAAAAAAAAAGAAGAAAAAAAAAATCATCCTGAGCTTCAAGTTATCTCTGTAGTTTTCGTATACAGTTTCTGGCATTGAATATAAATTACCAAGCATGCCACGAGGTAGGACCAAATGACTGCACACCAAAAGAGAAAAATCAGCAAAAAGTAAAAGAACTATAGGGGATGTCGGTACTAGAGGTATTGGACCAGGGCTTTAAAATGACTGTGAATATGTCGCAGAAAATATATGACATGATGAGGAATTTCAGCAAAGAACCAGAAATCTGTCAAAAAGAATCAAATGGAAATTCTAGAACTAAAAAGCAGAGTAACTGAAATTAAGACTGCAATAGATAGGTTTAATAGATTGGTTACAGCTGAACTATAAAATAATCCAGTAGAAAATATCCAGACTGAGGTCCAGAGGAAGGAAAAAAAAAAGGGAAAATACGGAAGAGAGAATGAAGAAGCGTAAGATGTGGCAGTCTAAAGTATGTGTAATTGGAGTCCACAAGTAGAGAAGAAATAACATGGAGCAGAAATTTGAGGAAATGATGACCAAGACTTTTCTGAAACTGATGAGAGTTATTAAGGCTGCAGATTCAAGAAACCCCGTGAGCATCAAGTTGGAAAAATACAAAGAAAACCATACCTAGGTATCACAGTAAAATGGATAAAACTCAAACACAGGAGAAAAAAGTCTTAAAAGCAGACAAAGGGGAGAAAAATTATTCTTCAAAGAAGTAGCAGGAAGACTGACAGCTGACTTTTCAATAGAAAGGCTGGAAACTAGGACATAAAGACATATTTATAAAGTGTTGAAAGAAGATCAATACGTACCTATAATTCTATACTTAGCAAAAATACTGTTCAGGGACTTCCCTGGCAGTCCAGTGGTTAAAGACTCCGCACTTCCACTGCAGGGGGCACACGGGTTTGATCCCTGTTCGGGGAACTAAGATCCCACATGCCGTGTGGCACGGCCAAAAGAGTAAATAAAATAAATTTTAAAATAATAACACAAAAGCCTGCCTCCTGGAGGACAGTTTTTAAAAAATACTGTTCAAAAAAAGAGGGAGGGGCTTCCCTGGTGGCGCAGTGGTTGGGAGTCCGCCTGCCGATGCAGGGGACACGGGTTCATGCCCCGGTCTGGGAGGATCCCACATGCCGCGGAGCGGCTGGGCCCGTGGGCCATGGCCGCTAAGCCTGCGCGTCCGGAGCCTGTGCTCCGCAGCGGGAGAGGCCGCAGCGGTGAAAGGCCTGCGTACCGTGCAAAAAAAAAAAAAAAAAAGGGGAAAATACAGACATTTTGAGACAAATACTGCATTAAAATAAATACTAAAGGGGGTTCTTCAGGCAGAAGGAAAATGATCCTAACTAGAAGCAAAGAAATAAAGGAGAGAAGAGTACCAGAAAGAGTAAATATGTGGGTAATACTGATTGTATAAAACAAAAAATAATGTCTTGTGGCATTTAGAACATATATATAGAACTGAAATACTTAACAGCAATAGTACACAGGTTAGGAGGGGGATAAAAGTGATCTAAGGTCCTTGCATCATCTGTGAAGTGGTAAAGGTACTAATTTAGTCTTTACAACGTCAGGGATGCAGGTTGTAATCTTTAGAGTAACTGTTAATAATAAGCTAACATGAAAAAAGTGGAAATAAATACTTGATTAATCCAAAAAGAAGGCAAGAAAGGAGAAAAAACTATCAATAAAATTTACCACATTACAGATTAAAAATTATCTAAATAGATATACTAAATTTCATTAAATTCAACAATTTTCTTAACCAGAATAAGCGTATCTACAACAGACCTATAGTAAACATCATACTCAATGGTACAAGGTTAAAAGCAATTCCTTATTTACAAATAAAGTAATAATACAGCAAGATTTCTAGATATAAGATCAACAGAAA